TAAATGTTTAAGTGATATGATGAAAGACTTATATGCCGTAATAGAATGACTGTAACATATATATATTCCTGCATGACATTTTCAATTATGTTACAAAGGTGTAAATAGATATACATAAAAAATCAGTTGGAAAAGAAACATTTTTAGCAGGTATATAATTATCTATCCACAAAACTTCACACATTTATTGCTTTCCTTATGGTTTCACGGTCTTTCCTTTTCCACATTAGTGTACAGGAGATTATTTCAAGTTATTCAAAATTTGTTAACTTTCGATATTCATTTTAAGTGTTGAGTGATTTTATTTTAGGCTGGTTAGAACTAACAAATGCCATAAAATCCATGGTCTGGCTAGAAAGTACACTAGTGTATTTCAATGAAAATACGTTAATGTATCAGAGAAGAGAGTACGTTAATGTATCTCAGTATCTTGTACCCTATTGTATCCTAGTAGAAAGTAAGGTGATGTATTCGAGTAGAAAGTATAGATATGTATCTGAGTAGAACGTACGCTAACATATCCTAGAAGAAAGTACGCTAATGCACCCTAGTAGAAAGTACGCTAATGTATCATAGTAGAAAGTACGCTAATATATCATAGTAGAAAGTACGGTAACATATCCTAGTAGAGAGTACGGTAACATATCCTAGTAGAGAGTACGGTAACATATCCTAGTAGAGAGTACGGTAACGTATCCTAGTAGAAAGTACGCTAATATATCCTAGTAGAAAGTACGGTAATGTATCCAAGTATTATGATTCTTGTTCTCTGATAGATTTTGTCTCTACAACAGGCAGTTGCCATCCATTCTACAAAGGATTCTCGTTATCGTTTAATGTCCATTCTACAAAGGATTCTTGCTATCGTTTAACGTCCATTCTACAAAGGTTCTTGTTATCGTTTAACGTCCATTCTACGAAGGATTCTTGCTATCGTTTAACGTCCATTCTACAAAGGATTCTTGTTATCGTTTAACGTCCATTCTACAAACCTTTGTAGAATGGGCGTTAAACGATAACAAGAATCCTTTGTAGAATGGACGTTAAACGATAACAAGAATCCTTTGTAGAATGGACGTTAAACGATAACAAGTATCCTTTGTAGAATAGACGTTACACGATAGCAAGAATCCTTTGTAGAATGGGCGTTAAACGATAACAAGAATCCATTCTTGCTATCGTGTAACGTCTATTCTACAAAGGATTCTTGTTATCGTTTAACGTCTATTCTACAAAGGATTCTTGTTTAACGTCTATTCTACGAAGAATTCTTGCTATCGTTTAACGTCCATTCTACAAAGAATTCTTGCTATCGTGTAACGTCTATTCTACAAAGGATTCTTGTTATCTTTTAACGTCTATTCTACAAAGGATTCTTGTTATCGTTTAACTTACGAGTGATATATCTTCTCTTTCCTTTCAACACATTTTTATTTAGATAACTTTTCTATTCTAAAATACGTTTATTTGTAAGGTTTATTACTATTTGTAAAATAAGGTTGGATCAAAATTTAAAGTCCTCTGGCAGATCAGCGATAAGCTTACGGACTTACAACGCTAAAAACAACAACCACAATCAAAACTTAAAACATTCTGAACAAGTTATTTCTTAAGTTTTTAGATCCTAATGTGTGCTGTTAATTGTAAGTCAAGTTCTTACTAGTAGAAAGTTTGATATGGAAATTCATTGTTACAAAGAAGACGTCATTGGATTTAAAAGCTCTTCCCTTCCACCATGTACTGAAACTTGTTCTTTTGGAATCCCTTCTTATTAAAATACACTGAACCGCATACCAGTGAATGGGAAGAGAACGCAAGGTTTACTTAAATACTGCCTCATTGGAACGCATAGTTCGGGAACACGTAAACAACTTGCCATATATTCCAGATATGAAAATCACCGTGACATAATGGTATCATGTTTGAAAATTGAAACAGACATGTTTTAGCTCCCAAACCACTGAATCGACTGTGTTTCTTCTAAACTTCTGAAGATAGTTTAATTAATAACAGTTTCTTTCTTCTTCTTCTTCTTCTTTTTGGCTTTTTGAGGTCCATGCTACTTGGTCAAGTTTGTGACATATTGTTCTTCTCATTATACCTAGAATTATAAAACAGTATCTATATATGTAAGCTGTATATAGATTTATTTATGTCATATGTATATATATATTATGATCTCTATAAGCCCGTGTTCTACGGAAGACTTTCCCCGAATGTTTGGAGTTAATCCATATTTTAAAAGCAGAGGTAAATTTCCACTTTATTTATTGAGAATGATTTTTTTTTCGTATCAGCCAACCTTGCATGCATGTTCCTATGTTAATGTCTATTTTATAAGATGCAAGTTGAATTATCTACAAGAAAAATAATCGAAAACGCAAAGAGAAGACAAAGTTGAATTCGTTTTCCTGCCACAAATAGCTACTTGGTTGTAATATTAATTTGTTTTTCTTGTCAGTTGCTTGTAGCTTGTCAATGACTATTTAGTGCAATCTAAAACACGGGATGTTATGGATGTTACATTAATTCTCTTCTGCTTAGTTTTTCATTAACGTCTCAAATTGTCTGGAAAATGAAATCCCGCAGAAAAATAACAAAACTTGTACAAAAACATTTATTGCAAAATTTTGATATATTTGAATATAGCCTTATTGTTAGTTCCCCCCCCCTTCTTTTTTACACGTGTGTATTATATTAAACGTATTTTTTTTTACACGTGTGTATTATATTAAACGTGTTATAAAATGCCATTTTTATTTTTTTCTATTGAAGGTGCTTCCTGTGTATCAGCAGATGTTAACAATGAGTTGACTCTTCTCATGAAGGTAAGTTACCAGGATGGTTGGGTGAAAGTGTCTTTTAGAGCAGTGTTTCTCAACGTGGGCCATGTTTTTCAGGGGCCAAACGTGAATGACGGAAAATTAGGGGGCCACAGTACATTCTGAGTGGGCCACTGAAACTTCATTGCCCGATTAAAATCTTTAAAATTGAATCAAAGATTCCTTTCTCCCCGTATCCCCCACAGTTCAGAAGTCAAGTTACCAGACGCGACTAGTACTCGAGTAACAATCAAAATGTTTGTCTGGTATCTGTGAATGTTTTCGACTGATTCTCAAGAGCAGCAGAGGGATATAACAGCCCAAGCTAGATTCAAACGTGACAAACATTATTTCTGGATAAGTAGTGAAATAGCTAATACGTTTCCACAGGCCTGGGAGAAGGCAACGTTCTATTTTATCGTTTTTCCCACAACTTATCTGGTTGAATCTGGTTTTAGTTGGGTGACTTATTTGCTATCAAAAATACGTAACCGCCTTTATGTTGTGAGGAGAGGCGATATTCGCTTATCACTGACCACACTGCAACCGGACATTCAAAAAACTTTAAGCGTTCATTAGACCCAAAGATCACACTGTATAAAACGTCAATCGTTAACATAATATTTTTTACTTGTATAAGTAAACAGTATGTTATAAACAAAATATTTGAAAACAATACAATATTGTAAGAATAATATTATAAATTTATAAATCAACAATGTGGAAATAAAGTAACTTTCTTCCTAAGTAACAGCGTCTACGAAGGGTGGGGCTACAGAGATAATAAAACTCAAAAGGGAGCCACGAGCAAAAAAAAAAAAAAAAGGTTGAGAAACACTGCTTTAGAGTATACATTTTTTACACAGATATAGTAAAGGTTTTTACTTTATGCTGAGAACTGGTGGTTAGGTCGCTCGACTCGCAATATGCGAGTCGCGCGTTTGGATACATGTTCACCCCTTTCAGTCTTACTGGAATTATAACATATAGGTCAATCTCACTATTCGGTTAGAGTAGACTTGCGCGAAATCCAACAAAGAAACTATATGCTAAATGGTTTGTATCGGATAATTAAACATTTTTCTTGGGGGCATAAAATGCAAAACATCAATCAAACTATACAGTTCAGACTGTGAACAAGTATGTGTAAATGAACCCTTTATTTGGCATTAGTGTTCAAGACAGTGTGACATAATAATATGTACATCCTTAGTATTTAAAACAAAATGTGAGATAAATTCTGATAGTTGTACATTGTACTATATGATTTTTTTATTATTTTGCAATTAGAACCATTAGCTTATAAAATTATACACGTAAAGCACTAGTTACGAGGTGCAAAATGATCCTATCTAATTTGTGGAGTTTAATATCTGTATAATTGTATAGAATCTCTTCACAACTATTAATGTTAAGCCGTAGTCTCTAGCACTATTTTATCACATAACGAAAAATAATATTTCTATATACGAGTAGCCTTGTTCCCAGTGATTTATATTGTCAGTTCTGAATAGTTTAAGTTTGAGAAAATCAGATTTTTTTTTATCATGTACAATTTCATTTATAAGTAACGTTTTTCAGACAATAATTTGGATATAAATTTCGTGTTCCAAAGTTAATTTAAATCCCTTTTCTCTTTATATTTGCAATTTCGAAGAAAAAGTGAAAACATATACCCATGATAGATAAGTGTAGTATTTATAGACTCGCATACATATGCACAGTCCTGATTTTTTTGTCGATACTTTATCTGGTGTAGCATCATGATATAAAAAAATGACAACATTTTCTTTCCATTTTCATATGAATATTGATCCTAACACTTGTTTAATTGCGTGTGCGTGTTGCAGTGCCATCACGGTGTCGCCTGAATGCCGAGCTCTCGGTCCCAGACCTACCACATCCCTGGAACTTAAAGCCGCCATCTTTCTCTTTCTTCTGATAATTATATGCAGGTGCTAGCCTTGCTTTGATCGCCCAATTCACTCCCCTACCCCCATTCTATCATTTTCTCTTTGAGTTTCTTGGAGTTAAAAGCGCGAGAAGGAGAGTGTTGGGCGTAGGAACAGATAGCTCGATCTAGTTTATTGATTATCACGCTGGGACGCAGGCTACGCTTATTTTATTTGTTATAGTCGCCAGCTTCTTTCTAACACTTAATATAAATGTTCTTTGACTACTGCTACATTCGGGTACCATTATTAACCAACACACACCGATCTTGTTGTAGTGCGACTCCCGTCTGCTCCTTTCAGTTTTTAGTCACAAAAATCGCAGTATTTATATTATTTTCCAAAAACTGACGATCAATCCCTATTAAACGTATTTATAGACGAAAAGTAGCGGTATGCGTTTAGAAATAAAGACAAACATTCATGATATTTTGAATCAGTTTGTACAATTCAGCGAAAGCATTTACCGTAACGCCATTGTTATATTTGCTTATCTGTTTATACAGTAACATCACACCATGTCTCAACGTTCACGTAAATACGACAGAAGACAAGTTTGTAAGACCGACTATTTTTGTTTCTTTACAGAATTGCTTTTTACATTCACTAGTACTTTTCAGACCTTGAAGTAGGGAAGAATGTTAGCTCAATGGCTACGATATCCTTTTATGTAACTGAGGCTATAAATTTAATGTGTGGGTAAAGTCTGAGAAGTTGTACAATCTAGCTTGCTTTTCTTTTCTCTTATAAATACTTCCTAGCTTTTATATTTTATACATTATTTTCACCTAACACTCTCGTTTATGCCCATTTTGAACGTGTGTGATTTAACAGAATTTCTTCTAATAATTACTTTTAATAAAAATATGTTATTTTAGATATATGTTTACAATCACAAATATTAGTATATTTTCTGTTTTACCATTGAGTTTAATATGTTTTTAATCAATGATCTAACCATCAGAAAAAGAAAAAAAAATTAAAATTTCGCAACAATCCATTCTTATGTGCATTTATCTCCCAGTAGCTTAGATCTAAAACCGATGGCTTCAATACCCATGGTGGGAACAGCAGAGATAGCTCATTATGTAGCACTGCGCATAAGAACAAACAAAATCACGTGCATTTTAAATACTTTTCTATGCATATAATATTTTTTAAATGTAGTATTGAATCAATTTATATAATACTAAGTTAAGTCATTTATAGATATATCACTTACTTAAAGAGTTATCAGTGTTTTCACTATAGGGTAATACAGTATTTTAAATTTTTTTGCCATTTTGCATATTTATTTTTGAATGTGTACAACTTCAAGGCTAACTTGCAATGGTGCTTTCATTATTTAAAGTTTTGAATGTTAAATTTGTGTTTTTGTATTAGGATTTATTAAAAATTAGGAATTAATAATTTGACTGTTGACTTCTTATATTTTCCATTCTGTAAGTATATGTAATTAATTATCAAATTTTAGTGAATAATAAAATTTTGAATAAGAATGTATGAAAATAACTCTCAGAGTGTTTAATCCTTTCTTTACTGAGATATTTTCCTTGGAATATTAAAGCATTTAATAAATCCAATTCTCTAAATACATACACACCATATTCATTCAATTAATTTGTGTTTAGTTCAAATTTCTAACCTACAGATGGCAGGAGAATAGGGCACTAATTGTTTTATCAAATAAGAAGCTTTAATAAATCATAATCCACACTGTTTCAGTATCGAACTGTTAGAAACAAGAGACATTAGACATAATTTGTGATGATCAAAATATACATCAAGAATTACACCTCATTAGCAGACTTTCCAGGCCACTGCATACCCTCAACAGTTTTTTAAACATCAGAAACTTAGACACATGAACCAGTATATAACATAATACTACTACTTGGGCGTAGACTGAGCTACAAATGTAAGAGAATTTTCAAGAAAACTAAACTCAGTTTACCTTTCAAATATGGCAAGATATTAATGCATTTATTCACAAGAATTAAACAGAGTAAAAAAGATAAAATTTATAGTCAACAACATCCCCTGTAATTGTTCAGAAAGCTATATTGGTGAAAGAGAAATAATAAATTGAACAGTTTATAGAGTCATGTTCATGCAGCAAGACTTGCACACCCAGAAAACATTGTACAACTGTACATTCTAACATCACAAGATATAAAGTTGAATGTTACTAGAACAGGATTTTTGCTTTTGCCCAGAATTAAAAAATTAAAGATGCTTTTATGATGCAAAACTAGTAAACCAACAATGAACCAAGACCAAGGCCTACAAATCAACTGCATTTGTAACCCTCTTCTTCAGAAAATATAAAAAAATTATGTTAATAGACCATTTGAATGGCCAATCAGATGTGTGTGTACTTTCAAAACTGTAAATATTTTTATGCTAATTCCAGTCTGTCCCTTATCAGTAACAACCAAGAAAAAAAGAAAAAAAAACAAATCTGTTTTATTTCATTTGATGTCGGCAGTTGCCAATGAAATTAAAAATTGAGGTAAAAACTGCATTTAAACCGTTACACACTACCGAACTTGAAACAAGCTGTACTGAAGAAATAAAAGCAAGGATATATATAGTATCTCTGGAGAATATGGCAAGAAATATATAGGAGAAACCTCATGTTCCTGGGCAGTCGGATGCATAGAACACCAAGGTCACAAGAGTATAGGTGAATTTGGGAAATCCACTTTTAATGTCATCAGTTTGAATCAAGTCATAAGACTCTTTGGGATAAAAATTTTCTCCTGCACCAACCCAAAAGTAAAAAAGAAATAAATTGTTTAGAAACATTATTAAAGCAGATGTTTTCACTAAACTGTAGCTGTTGCCCTAGTAACATCAACAAAATTTGACTGATTTAATCTTTAAGTCAAAAACCTGTTGTAAGTTTCACTGATGCAATTTTACAACATTCCTGTAGATTATACACTGTAACATGCTTTGTCTTTATATATATTAATCTTATATATAACTCCTGTATGCTTAGTTGCACATCATACTAGAACAAGATAGACAAATGTTCTGTTGAAACATGTAATATGTTCTGCATGTAAAGTTTTTATTAGACTTATAAATCATTGTTGGTTAATTTACTATTACTAATCAGGCACTAAATAATTGAAGTTTTTCAGGGCTGTGCTACTTTTCTTTCTCTTTAAATATTACCCTCTTTCACTTGCTCTCCCAAGACAAAATGAACAACTTAAAATAGTTTGAAATGTTATTTCAACACCAAACTAAGACAGGAGAAGCCTATAAAATACTTGTAGTTACATCATAATAGTAGTCTTAAGTTATATATTCATAAACATTATCTTTTGAACAAATCAAGGATTTCTTAACTTGTTTGACATAAGAATTTGTAATTCTGTGCTTGGTTTCATCATGAACTTGTCTTGATTTTTTGTTACTTTTTATGCCTATCTTTTAAAAAAGCTTTAAAAAATAAAGATCAATTTCTGTAACTTAATTTTCTCATAATGATTTTCCCTCTGATCTATTGTTGTAACTTATCTAATTTATGGACGATCTTCAAAATATCAGACGTTTCAACAGTATTTTAGCACATACTTTTCATTTTTTTCAAACAAAATTTCAAATGAAAATTTTTGTGAAGCATTTTTTTATTTTTGCAACCTTTTTGTGTAGATTAAGTCCCTAAAATTTTAAGTACCTAACAACTTATAATAGCATTTTATAATCATTAAAATTGTATTTTCTATTTAGGCATATTGTTTATGGTTGTTACCATGGATAAGCCTGACCAGAACTCCCAGAGTTCTCCAAAAGGTTAGTTGTGATCATTTGTGAATGTAAAACATATGTTTACTTCTTCAAAATTCAGTTGTTGTTTTTTATCTTCATATTTATTGTATAAAACAGTTTGAACAGTTACACAGTCTGTTTACTTGAAATGGTCATATAAGTAAATCATCATTTTCTCATGGCTGTGTATGTACACACACTTAGCCATTTTTTCTTTATCATTTGTGTTTAGTTATATTATAAACAGTTACTTATTGTATATGTAACTTTAGTTTCAAACCAATATTTTCAAGTTGTTTTGTTCCATAATTACAGTATCAGCAAAACAAAGTATAGTTTTATTTTAGTTTGGTGGTAAAAAGCTTAAATATATTTCTATTAAGGATAATTTTTCAAATTTGTCAAAACAAATTTAGCAGAGCTTTAAAACAGCTTTTTCTAATGGCTTCAAATTTGAGCCACTTACTTATTAATATTTCTAAACAGATGTTTGTTAGTAAAACAGAATAATTGTGTGCATTTCAAGTAATTATAGAACATTGTCAAACATCAGAATAGTTCTGTATTATAGGTATTGAAAACTCTTACAACCTCAGATATTGCATTTTAACCTGTGTTCAAGTGTTATTAATGATTTAAAGCAACCCTTTCTGCACTTACAATGAACCTACAATTTCACAGGACTTAGATGTTATATCACATCTTCCTAAAAACACTTGGTAATGCTAGGCTAATTTCATTTTTCTGATATTTTTTTTCTTCTGTATCTGTCACATAAGTATTATTTATTATTTCAGAGCCAATATAACCTTTTTGACAGTAAAGTCCATACATTCATACTTAGATAATGACCTTTCAAGTAAAAGGATTAGTAAAAGCCATATTGGGGTTTCAAAACAGTTTTTAATTTAACTTGAGAAAGCACTGAGTGAAATTGTTTCTTGTGTCTTTTTTTTTCTGCAGTATAAATCCATACATTTCAATATACAGTAATACAGTATTAACTAGTGTATCATTCATTATTGTGGAGGGAGGGAGACGTGTATACAATATACATGAGCGATCAATGAAATGTAAACAAAAAGAATTATAAACTGTTCCGACTAAGACACTGTTTTATGTTTTGAAGATTGTAATTAAATATTAGGTAATAAAACTACAGGGGTTCTTAACATATTGCACAACTGTTAAACCTTTAAACCACATTTTAGATCTTAAGATCCAACAAAAGCGATTTATTTGTTCATGAAAAATTATCTGATTTGGATAAATTTTCATGTCTTTCTGTAGATAAGGTAGCACAGAATCTTCACTTAGGTATCTAGCAGTTTTCAACTAATCTTTAATACCATAGCTATTCATACTTAGATAAATAACTGATTATTGCGTATAGAAAGAAGTTCCTTTCACAACTATGTCTGTTGACTTTTCTCTGTTTGAACTTATTGAGCTTCATATGAATTCTTATGTTTGCATATATCACACGTACATTATTCAGTTGTTTTGTACAACCTAGATATAATTCTGTATTATTCTGTTTTTAGTAAGGTACTTTTGGACATCTTTAGTCAGCAAAATGTAATAAACCAGCTAATGTTATGTTGTTTAAACAGCTTGAAGTACAACTATTGTACTGCAAGTTATATTGTTTTTTTAAACAGTCTTAATGAAATTTTCTGTAGGATTTCAAATAGGCAGCTTTGCAGTTTAGTTTAAGCCACATCATAAAAACCCTAAGGTCAGATTTAGACAAACATTTATATAATATTTTAAATGTTTAATTTCATGCTAATTTAGGATATTTTTGTAGAGATGTAAATGAATTTGAGGTTAATACACATCTTTCAGTAATTTCAAAGTAATAATACACATATAAAGTTGATATTTTGTGTACTTAACAAAAAGAAGTGATGTTTAGATACATGCAAAAATATTTTCATACAAAGAAAAGGTTATTAGAATTAAAACACTTTTGTTTTGTTAAGAATATGTGAAGTAGTGATATATATTTAACTCTCATAAGTAAAATTAATTTAATGACGAATATTGTAATTATATACACTTCAAAATGATTTGATTTAAAATTTTTCCAAGTATAACTTATTGTTTTTCAAATTCGATGATGAGGAA